AATGACTCATTTATTAGTCCAGTCAAACTCATTACTCAGAAATAATTCACAACAGATTTTGATGTTCCATAGAGATGACAAAAATAGTTGGCATGAAAATACCTATTGGAGGAATTGTCTGGAGTTTTTTACACTGTCAAGGTGACATCATCATACGACATCATCATCATCTGGTAGTATTAAATAAGAGTGAGATCACTTTCCCAGGTTATTCATTTGACTTGTTTTTCTTTTTTAATTATTGCCTACAAACAGTTCTGGGCAGTTAGTAAAATAGTATTATATAAAATCAGTAAAGAAAATTTAGCTATTGTCCTGAGGCTGTATTAAACTATATTAAAAGGATGTTTCAAACAATATCTTGTCTGCAAGCCAGTATTTTGTTTTGTTTTGTTTTGTTTTGTTTTGTTGGTGGGGGGGGGGCAGTTGGTTGTGGGGCTTGAACTCTGGGCCTGGGTGCTGTTCCTGAGCTCTTCAGCTCAAGGTGAGTACTCTACCACTTTGAGCCACAGCACCACTTCCGGTTTTCTAGTGGTTAATTGGAGATAAGAGTCACAGACTTTCCTGCGCTGGCTGGCTTTGAACCACAATCCTCCTAAGTAGCTAGGATTATAGGTGTGAGCCACTGGCATCCAGCACCAGTATTGTTTAATACCATCTTTTCTGATTTCCTTGAAGTGTTACTTAAAGTTTTTACTACTTAACCTGTTTTTCTCATATGAATCATAAAACTGTAACTATTTGTCTTAGGGACATATCAGCTATCCAAAGACTATTCCCACAGAGATGATTAAAATTTTGAACTTAAAATGTTTGAATTGTACAGCTTTATAAAAATGGGTTCACGGGGCTGGGAAGATGGCTCAGTGGTAGAACGCTTGCCTTGCATGCCTGAGGCCCTGGGTTCGATTCCTCAGTACCACATAAGCAAAAAGAAAAAAGCCGGAAGTGGTGCTGTGGCTCAAGTGGTAGAGTGCTAGCCTTGAGCTGAAGAGCTGAGGGACAGCGCCCAGGCCCAGAGTTCAGGCCCCACGACCGGACCAAAAAAAAAAAAAAAATGGGTTCACAATTTGAAGTTGTTTCTTTTTTTTTTTTTTTTTTTGGGTCTGGTCATGGGCCTGAACTCTGTGCCTGGGCGCTGTCCCTCAGCTCTTCAGCTGAAGGCTAGCACTTTACCACTTGTGCCATAGCACCAGTTCCATTTTTTCTGCTGTGTGGTGCTGAGGAATGGTACCCAAGGCCTCATGCATGCAAGGCAAGCACTCTACCACGGAGCCAACTTCCCAGCCCTCCAGCTGTTTTTTGTTTATTTGTTTGTGTTTGTGTTTTGTGTTGTACTGGGATTAAATTCATAGCCTTGCACTTTCACTTGGCTTTTTCACTTAGGACTTCTTGGGTTTAGCTTCGCCCTTCACTTGGTGCTTTAGCCTCGTTGGTCTCCTTTGAGTTTCATAAACATTGCATGGGTCACTTCGGAATAGATGGAAGAGTACCTTCTCAGAGAAGCCTCTCACCATCACGCTGTCTCAGTCAAATTACCTCCCCAGGTAATTTCTAGTTGACCACACTATTGCCCTGGCATTTGTTGTACCCAGTCATTAGTATTTTTATTAGAGTACTTATTGTCTTTTTCTCTACTGACAAAGAAATAGTATGAAGTAAAGAACCACACCCCTTGACACAAAGAAGTCATTCAAGTATTTATTCAACAAGTGAATATATGGATGACTTACTATTTACACACAAAATAGTTTAACTTTCTTGTTTAATTTAATTCCAAGAGGAAGAAAGCTATATATTTTGAGATTGACCTGAAAATAGCACAATTGAGGGCAGTAATGTATGCTACTCTTGTTCTCATCACTCTCATCATGATTTATTTTATGTTGATTCATATGACTGAAGTGATTTGAGGTCTTTTAAAAGATCTCTACCACATATAAAGTTGTTTTACATTAATCTTTACAAGCCTTAGATTTGCTCCGTTAAATATTTCAAAGTTAGAAGTTTCAATTTTTTTCTATTGTATACATGCGTAGTATCTTGTTATTAGAGTCTTGCTGGACACTGCAGGAAGCATGGTATTTCTCACATAGATTCCAAAAGTGTAGGGACAGAATTAAAGCCCCCTCAAAGGATTCTTTGCCATGAAGGTAGAATTCATGAGCAGATCAGTTGTATCTCACCAAGGACGAAACTTGGAGTTTATTACTGGGAAATCCAAACTAATCTAGGGACTAAATAACTTGCCAAGGTCACAAAGCAGTGAGAAATAATGCCAGGATTCAGAGTCAAGTTTTCCTACTGTCGAACTTATTCCTACCGTATTTTAGAACTTATGTTCTACTATGTTTTGTAATTTCTCAAGCTATAAAAAAATTACTGAAATTTGTTTCACTTTTGTGTTTTTTAAAGAAATTAAAATCTTTGAACTCACCTGTTTGATATCTGTTACTGACATTGTATACTGTATTACAATTTGCTGGCTTCTATGTGAGAATTATAAATAATTTTGACCAATATTAGCCTGTATTACTGAAACTTGAACATGTAAATCAATTGTAAATAATCTTTAAATCTTTGAACTACATATCTCAAAGCATACTTTGCTTTGTGGGAAGATTTGCTTTAGTGGTTCCTAGTAGTTTAAAGAACTGATTCAAGTCTAACAGATGCAAGCATTCTAATACAAGGAAATTGCTAGAAGCATGCAGTCTACCACAAGCAGTGATTTCACTTATTCAAATTGAATTTGTTAGGTTTGTCTATTTTGATGAAATCTCAATTTTATTTTTATTTATTTATTTTGCTAGTCCTGGGGCTTGAACTCAGGGCCTGGACACTGTCCCTGAGCTTCTTTTGCTTAAGGTTAGCACTCTACCATGTGAGCCACAGCACCACCTCTGTTTATGTGGTACTAATGAATCAAATTTAGGGCTTCATGTATGCGAGGCAACCACTCTACCACTAAGCCACATTCCCATCCTGAAGTCTCAGTCTTTCTACTAACCACATTTTCAGTAGAAGGAAAAGTTATCACCTCAAAGAAAGCATGTAGGTTATGTTGGCCCAACAGACCAACCCTTCAGTCTGTATTCTCCATGGTAGAAGCAAGACTGATTTACCATTCTGTATATAAACCATGTTGCCCACTTCACAGTTACTAAACACAGTCTTTCTGGTGATAGATTGGTCATTTTTTTTTCTACCAGTTTTCCTTATTCTGAAGTGATCCTTTCTTCTTCACAGCTATTGGTGTCAGCTATAGGCTCTAAAAGGCAAGGGCAGATGTTATGATCTGACATCTCAGTTTCTCCCCGTTTTCATTTAAAGTAGAGGATGTATAGAAGGTATAGACTAGTCACTCTTGTATTCTTTTGACATGATATAGTATTTTTTATAATTCTGTTTATTATATCATCATGAAGGTGGTTTGACAAATATATTACTAGACTAATATTAAATACCTTTGATGATCTGGATAATGAAAAACATTATGGAGAGTACAGAAGAGAATCACATGATTCCTATTCTCTGAGACTATAAATATCTTTTATTCAGAATACATGTTAGGGCTGTGTGTATGAACACATGCTCGCTGGAACATTTAGGATATCTGAGAGATTCCCAGTGTGGTACAGTATGGGACAAGGAATTCAGAGAAGGAAAATTACATCTATATGAAGTCATCAGAGACCCAAAATGAAGGTGATATTCAAGCAGAGTTCTAAAAAGATGGTTAGGATTTCAACAAGATTGTAGTAAAGACATTTAAAATAATAAGTTCAATCACTGGCTCTGCTTTCAGATCAACAAATTCACTTACCAGTGGTACAAATTCCGCCAACTTGCTTAACCCCTGTGTTCTTAGCTTTTTTAATCTAAAGAGTATGAGAAACAAGCCAAGCTCCAGTGGTTCATGCCTGTAGCCTAGCTGAGATCTGAGGATAGTGGTTGAAAGCCAGCCCAAGCAGCAAAATCCGGGAGACTCTTATCTCCAATTAACCACCAGAAAATGGAAGTGGAGCTGTTGTTCAAAGTGGTAGAGCACTAGTCTTGAGCACAAAAGCTCAGAGACAACGCCCAGGTCCTAAGTTCAAGCCTCATGACTGACAGAACAAAACAAAAAAGAGCATAGGAGTTAGAGTTGTAGTTACAGAGGATTTTATAAAGGGAGATTCTGTAATGTGAACATGATTTTCTAGTCTCATACAAGTGTTAGAAATTTTCATACTAAATATTGGAAAGAGGATACCCAATGGCGTGGAACTTAACTGGTAAAAGACATACATTACAACAAAAAATGTGTTAATTTAGTATTGACTTACCCATATTTCCTCATGTAGGAAAGTTATCCTAAATAAGTTTTTTTAAGATTTATGTTGGACTTCCTCCTCCTCAAAATTTCAAATGACTTTTAGATCTTCAGGTGAGACTATGAGTTATAATGTTGGGTTCTATAAAATTAAGCTGCTTTAGTAAACATTGTAACATTGCACAAAGACAGTATATCCTGGAAATGTTTGTCTTACTGTTGTGGCTTATAGTCATCTGTCATCTATAAACTGTGGTTTATAGAACAAGTCTATGTGTTCTCGTGTGAATCTTTGTCTGATGGGATGTCAAGAGAATTCATTCATGTTCTTGTCTTTCATGGATTTTAAGCAGACTGAATATCATTGTAAGTTGTACTCAGTAAATTTTTAGTAACAACAGAAAAGCAGGACGTTCCTAGCATAAAAATCATCATGAGTTTGTGATGATTTGTCACTTGTTGATATCAGATCTTGGACTCTCACTATCTGAACTCCAGTGAAATACTGGAATACTTTGCCAAAGGTTTAAAAAAAAAAACAAACCTGGAAATCAGCAGTTTTTTTAATACGAATTGTTCATGGGGGAAAAAAAACTTTTTAAGACAATATCCCTCAAAGCTTGAATGCTGAAACTGAGATTATTTTATTTTGATGAATAACAGTAGATTCTTTCTTCTTTCACAGACTATCTTGCTAATCATGGTCGGTTAAATGAGTCTGAAGCCAGGAGAAAATTCTGGCAAATTCTTTCTGCTGTTGATTATTGCCACGGCCGGAAGATTGTGCACCGTGACCTCAAGGCTGAAAATCTCCTTTTGGATAACAACATGAATATCAAAATAGCAGGTAATTGGGATGCAGCTGACTCTGTAAAGATCAGAGATGAGCTATTGTCCTGGGTGTACAGAAACAATCAGTAGCTATAGATGACATCAAGCTTTCTCAGAGTATACTTTCTCTGTTTCCGCAGTGTTGTGTGTGATTACAAGAAAGGGAAATAAATTTCTTATTAATATACACAGTGGCAGGGCTTCATCTATGGTATGATTTGTGTCCAGGTTCCTGGTAGTTCTGTGTGGAAGAGCGATATATGTGAGTGTGAGTGATTGAGAGGGATAGAGAGGATAAAGAGGACAGTGCAGGTTGCTGGTGTTTTAACCTGCTCTTCTCATTATGGTTGATGGTCACAGAAAAGGGACAGACAGAAAAAAAAGACAAAGGAACTTATAGAAGCAGAATGAGAGTGATTTGAGACACAAAAGCATCTTGCCTTGATCTGATAACAAAGATTAAGGGTAGAGATCAGCTTGTTTTCTTCCCAGCCTTTGTACAATTACAGAAGTTTTTATATTTTATGTTTTGACTTTTTCTTTGCACAATCAAACTCAGTAGGTATTTTATATGTCAGGTTCTGTGCTATGCTAAATAAAATATGATATGTGGAAATTATTTCAGAGTGTATACATATATTAAAACACCATATTGTACACCTTGAAAGTAAGCAAGTGTTATTTGTCAATTATACTCTAATAAAACAGAAAAATATAGTGTAATAGTTCTATCAAAAAGATGTAGAGAGCCAGGTGCTGGTGGCTCACGCCTGTCATCCTAGCTACTCAGGAGGCTGAGATCTGAGGATCGCGGTTCAAAGCCAGCCCGGGCAGGAGAGACCGTGAGACTCCTATCTCCAATAAACCACCAGAAAACCGGAAGTGGCGCTGTAGCTCAAGTGGTAGAGCGCTCGCCTTGAGCTGAAGAGCTGAGGGACAGCGCCCAGGCCCAGAGTTCAAGCCCCACGACCGACAAAAAAAAAAAAAGATGTAAAGAGCCAGGTGCTGGTGGCTCACTCCTGTACTCCTTGTTACTCAGGAGGCTGAGATCTGAGGATTGCGATTTAAAGCCAGCCCGGACAGGAAAATCGTGAAACACTTATCTTCAGTAAACCACCAGAAAAACAGAAGTGGCACTGTGGCTGAAGTGGTAGAGTGCTAGCCCTGAGCTGAAGAGCTGAGGGATAGCGCCCAGGCCCAGAGTTCAAGCCCCCATGACTGACAAAAAAAAAAAAAATGTAGAGCTGGAGGTATAGCTCTGGCTACATTTGCCTAGCATGGGTAGGTCCCTACATTGGATTCCCCATCACTTTTTTTTTTTTTTGTCAGTCGTGGGGCTTGAACTCTGTGCCTAGGCGCTGTCCCTGTGCTCTTTAGCTCAAGGCAAGCGCTCTACCGCTTGAGCCACAGCGCCACTTCCAGTTTTCTAGTGGTTTATTGGTGATAAGAGTCTCACAGACTTTCCTGCCTGGGCTGGCTTTGAACCGAGATCCTCAGATCTCAGCCTCCTATGTAGCTAGGATTACAGGCGTAAGCCACCGGCGCCCAGTTCCCATCACTTTTTAAAGCTGGAGGTATACAAACTTCAGTAGAAGACAAATTTGAGGAAATAGCAGTTTCTCTGGGGAATCAGGGATGTTTCACAAAAGATGAACTATTTGAATTTAAGGCTTGAGGAACTTGCCAAGTATTTATACAGAATAAGGATGTTTCAGGCAGGTCAGTAGCAGTTGGAATGTTAAACTAGATTGTTAAACATTCTACAGACATAGGGAAGTGATAGGGTAAGAGCAGGCAGGTATACATAGTATATGAAAGGTCGTAAATGTCACATAAAAGATTTTTGAGATTGTTCTACAGGCAGTGGGAAGCTAACCTACTGAAAAATGTAACGTGTGTATGGATAACATAGAATTGGGATAAACCATATGTTAGCATCTGTCTCTGGCTGCAGAGTTAAGGTGGATGGGAACTATGGGTAGGATTGAAGAGAGGCAGATTTATGAGAAATCCCATGAAGAGCAAACAGGCCTAAAAAGAGCAGCATAGTCGAGGTTGCTGAATATATTACATAAATTAGCTGTTTCAGCTTTGTGGAATGTTGAAACTAACAAGCACACTAAGTCTAAATGAACATATTTGTCCGTGCTTATAAGGTAGAAGTCAGGCATTGGTGGCTCAGGAGGCTGGGATCCTGATGATGGTGCTTTGAGGCCAGCTCAGGCAGCAAATTCCACTAGACTACATTTCTAAACCAGAAAAACATAGAGCTGGGGGCATGGTTCAAATAGAGTACCAGCTAAACAAGCAAGCCAAGCATGCAAGAGTTCAGACCTGAGTACCACCAAAAAATGAAAGGGAGGGAGGGAAGAAGGAGAATAAAAGTATTAGGCATGAATCATCCTAAAGAAAATACAGCCGGGCGCTGGTGGCTCACGCCTGTAATCCTAGCTACTCAGGAGGCTGAGATCTGAGGATCGCGGTTCAAAGCCAGCCCGGGCAGGAAAGACCGTGAGACTCCTATCTCCAATAAACCACCAGAAAACCGGAAGTGGCGCTGTAGCTCAAGTGGTAGAGCGCTGGCCTTGAGCTGAAGAGCTGAGGGACAGCGCCCAGGCCCAGAGTTCAAGCCCCACGACCGACAAAAAAAAAAAAAAAAAAAAAAAAAAAAAAAAGAAAATACAGAATCATGGCTTTTTTGTGTGTGTGAAAATACTGTACAGAGGGGTTATAATTACATGGGCAAGATAATGAGTACATTTCTTATCAAGCATTGTAGCCTCCTCCTTCCCATCCCTTCCCATCCTCCCCCTACCCACCCAATCCGCCTCCTCCCTTCCCCCCCCACCAAAGTTGTAAAGTTCATTTCAACATAATGACTTGTACATCTCATTGTTGCAATGGGTCCACCTGTATCCCTATTTAAACGACTTGTTTTTTCCCTTCCCCTCCACAAATTATACCGCCATCAAATACAGTGAAAGCAGGGGTTATACTGTGGGGAGAGACATAGAAAGCAACAAAGAAATAATCTTATAAATGTGTTAGAAATAATCGCATGAAAGAAAAAAACATTTGAATACATATCTTAGGGTTCATTTCCCTAACATCAACTTATCTGACCTTTTCTGCTTAACTCAGACATATACTAGTTATTGCAAATAAGAGAAACCATGGGACCTATGTTTCCTTGGGTCTGGCTTACTTCACTTAATATAATTTTTTCCAAGTCTTTCCATTTCCTAACAAATGGGGCAATGTCATTCTTTCTGATGGAGGCATAGAATTCCATTATGTATATATACCACATTTTCTTGATTCATTCATCTCTGAGGGGCATCTGGGTTGGTTCCATATCTTAGCTGTGATAAATAATGCTGCAATAAACATAGTCATGCTGGTAGCTTTAGTGTGGTCTTGTTTGTGAACATTTGGGTAAATGCCCAAAAGGGGATTGCTGGGTCATAGGGGAGCTCTATGTGGAGTGTTTTGAGGAACCTCCATACTTCTTTCCAAAGTGGTTGAACAAGTTTACACTCCCACCAACAATGCAGTAAGGTTCCCTTCTGTCCACATCCCCTCCAGCATCTGTTGTTATTAGAGTTCTTGATTATAGCCATTCTAACTGGGGTGAGGTGGTATCTCAATGTTGTTTTGATTTGCATTTCTTTTATGGCTAGGGAAGTTGAGCATTTCTTCATGTGTCTATTGACCATCCTTCTTTCCTCTTCAGAGAAGTTTCTCTTTAAGTCTTTAGCCCTCTTATTTATTGGGCAGTTGTTTCTTTGAAGATTTGTTGTTGGAGGATTTAATTTTTTGGGTTCCAGTTATATTTTAGATATGAGACCCTTGTCTGTTATATGGCTAGTGAAGATCTCCCAATCCGTGGGCTTTCTATTGATCTTGCTAGCTATGTCCTTTGCCATGCAGAAACTCTGCAATTTGATGCAATCCCATTTGTCCAACCTTTCTTTGATTTGTTGTGAGAAACATGGCTTTTAAGATCAGCTAGGGCTGGGAATGTGGCTTAGTGGTATAGTGCTTTCATAGCACACATGAAGTCCTGGGTTCCATTACTCATTGCCACTAAACAGGAAAAGCCAGAAGTGGTGTTGTGGTTCTAGTGGTAGAGTGCTAGCCTTGAGCAAAAGAAGCTCAGGGGTAGTACCCAGGCCCAGAGTTCCGGAGTTCAAGCCCCAGGAGTGGCAAAGAAAAAAAAAAATAGACCAGCTTGTAGTTTTTGCTGCCTGCTATGGTAATGACTTCAGACATTATTTGTGGCTTTTGCCACAGCTTGCTGCCACCTGTGTTTGCCTGTCACCTCAGACAGGGGGCCTCCAACCTTTGTAAAATGTGAGCATTGGGATATTCAGAGTAAAAAGCTGAATGCAAAGCACTGTTAGCTTTCAGTAGTCTTAGTAATTGCAGTGCTATTTCCTTCTAGCTATTTTAGCTTATGGCTATTCAGGCCTTAAGTTGAAAAACATTTGATTTTATTCTCCAGTCTGAAATTCTTACAGCAAATACTTACAGAAGGAGTCAAATGTATGAATTAATTGGAGAAAGTTTGAAGAAAATGAACAGGGCTTGGGTTGGTGTTTTAACCTCTTGGGCCAGAGTTTCTTATCTATTGAAAAGTGTCTAATCTGTCTTTCAAGGACATTGTAGAAATCCATGATTACTAGGGACAAGTAGGTAATACAGGGCACTAGCCCATTCTTTAGAGCCAGGCAACGTAGGTTTTAATCCTTACTAGCTCAGTGACTGTGGACACATTTTCCAACCTCTCTGTTCTGTTTCCTTATCTGTAATAAAGGAATGACACAGTTCACAGTGGCTCTTACTTAAATTAATATTTGTTATGTACGTAAAACAGTGCCTGGTATGTAGTGTTAGTTTAAGTGTGTATAAAATAAATTATTAATTGAAGTTCAACAAAGTTGGGTTTTTTTCAATTAACCAGTCTTTTTAAAGCCTTATTAGGGGAGAGGAGTAGGGATAGTAGGAGAAAAATGA